CGAAGGCTCGCTGGCAGGTCACGGGACAGGCCCAGGTTCCATGGGTTGACAGATGCACCACCCACGCTGATCCAGCTGCCCAGGAGCACCTTTCACGAACCTCCTTCACAGACGTCGATCTTGACACCTTTACGTTTAGCTGTCTCAATTCAGCCAAACGGAAGCTGCTTGGGCATGCTGGGCATGCAGACTTCATGATACAGCCATCGCACTAACCAGCGTAAGGTCAAATAACCCTCATGACACTCATGGTGTGGGGAGGCCCTCATCCAGCAATGGATTTACAAAAGGGCTGTTCATGCACATGGGTTCTCTACTTCGAAAAGTGCCATGTAAAGCTCATTAATTCTTCTCTTTTCCGAACATAGATGGACTCGTCCATCTAAACAAACTGTCAAATCGCTATCCGTGGTGCTAACGTTTAAAAATAAATACAAACCGCCACTTCTTTCAAATGTTATTGCCGTTGGTTTTCACACCTGATGAAAACTGTTTGTGTTGCAGTCGAAACGTCGTGATAATTTTATTGTTTTATATATATTTTATTATTTTAGTGTTACCCTTCAACGTGACTTTACCGAAAGAACCAAGAATATGAATCACTCAGTCACGAAAGCTTTGAATCAAAATTTAACCGCCTCTACGGGGAGGGTTTCCACGTAACTTTAAGATCCTTCAACAAACACTGGAATAAGAAGGCTCAGCTGATCGAGTCTCTCACCTTTCTGAAGAGATGCCGCGACTCTGAGGTAATACCAATCGCATTTACACTGACGTCTGCTGCTGTAACTTCTTCTAATGCGAAACAAATTATTTTCAAAACTAGCTTAGCACTTATCTCAGAGAAAATCAGACTTATACGCACTGGACTAGATCAAATAGACAAAACACTCTACAAATCACACTTATCATTGGCGGCAACAATGTCCACATCGGATTGGAAACATGTAGACAATATGACTGCTTCTTCAACTGCTGCTATGTCGACCAAATGTAAGGACAACCTGATTTTCAAATTTAACCTCCTCTCCAACAAAAGACCGGACCCACACACCAAAAAGCTAGACGTTAACAAAGTCGTAATTAATTGCAGTAACAGTTCTATTTCCGATGGACTGAAAGCCGTTTTAGCTAAAGGTCTAAACTTTGCAGTCACACCTAAACACATACCAGTTAATGATATCATTGTCCAAGTAGACGTTGCTCTCAAGGGCCTGGGTCACATCGCTGCAGACGTAGCAAGATCTGAAATCGCAGCAACCCTCAAAAACGCTAAGATGCCAGCTAGCAACCTCAGCAAAGATGATCGTTTTGAATTATATGAATTAAAAAAGAGGGATGACATTGTAATCCTCTCAGCCGACAAGAATATAACAACAAAATTGAAGAATTACTCGACGATGGCAGCTATACAAAAATGTAAAGAGATCCCACCAGCAGCCTCGTCACACAAACCAACAAAATAATTTCTGATTCAACTGCATTAATTGATCAAACTAAACAGTTTTCGTTGACACCTTCTGCTGCCAGGCCACCAAGATTCTACGGCTTGCCAAAAATACATAAAGTAGATACACCCATTCGTCCCATCGTCTCTATTATCAACTCCCCCTCCTACAAACTGGCTCGTTTTCTGTCTGAAATCCTGCGGCCTTTAACTGGAAAAACCACCTCTGCGGTACAAAATTCTACTCACCTGGTATCGACAATCAAGGGTATTTCCCTGTCCCCAGACGACCTGCTTGTCAAGTTTTGATGTAGTTTCCTTATTCACCAAAGTTCCTGTACCTGACACCATCGCAATCATTGAAGACTTGGTTAATCAAGGACCAAACACTGAGGTACCCCCCCTGGTGAGACACTGCTTAACCAATACATACTTCACTTGGAATGGAACTTTCTACAAACAAACTGAGGGCAGCCCAATGGGCTCCCCCCTTTCTCCAGTTATAGCTAACATTTTCATGAAGAAATTTGAGACTGACGGCATCCAGACTGGCACTCTGCGCCCAACCTTATGGAAGAGGTACGTGGATGATACTTTTGTCATCTGGCCACATGGCCGGCCTGCTCTAGACCAATTCTTCGACCACATAAATTCCATACACCCAGCCATCAGATTTACCATGGAAGTCGAAAAAGTTGGCAAGCTACCTTTTTTGAATGTCCTAATAAAAAAGACACCTGATGGTTTAATGAGCCACTCTGTCTACAGGAAAGCTACCCATATGGATGCTTACCTGAAACCGGATTCCCACCACCATCCATCCCAGAAGAATTCCCTCATCAAGACTCTGCACCATAGAGCCCAATGCATATCCGACCAGGAACACATAGGTAGTGAACTCAAGCACGTACACCAAGCTCCGACTATACAATCCGCAAAGCTATCACTCAAACCATGAAGAAGGAAGAGCCTTTCAAAACCATCTCTTTACCCTACATTGCGGGGATCACAAAAAGATCTCAAAAATCTTGAATAAACACAAGATCCAGGTCCGTTTCAACACATTACATAAAATCCGTGATCTGGTTCCGTCTGTAAAAGATGTGATTCCGGACATACAGTACCTTGGTGTCTACAAAGTTGACTCTGTGGTAGTAGTTACATTGGAGAAACCAAACGACATGTCTCAGACCGCATTTGTGAACACAAAGCAGACCTTAAACACGGTAGGACCAACACCTCGGCCGTGGCAGATCACTGTTATAATTCAGTAGGCTCATATGACATTGACTTCTCCAAGACAGAGGTTCTTTGCAAGCCATCTGGCTCCCATGAGAGATTCGTTCATGAGGCTATTCACATATACAAACACAGAGACAATTTCAACCGAGAAGATGGATTCTGGCTTAGCAATCATTGGAAGGATTTGATAAACCATTTTGGGTCTTAATTGATTGTTCATGCTTACGGTGGCTTTCAGACAGCATACATTAATTTTTCATCTTCCCCCTCCTCTTTTCCGAACATAGATGGACTCGTCCATCTAGACAAACTGTCAATTCGCTCTCCGTGATGCTAACGTTTAAAAATAAATAAATACATTATAACCGCCACTTCTTTCAAATGTTGCCGTTATTTTTCACACCTCATGATGACTGTTTGTGTTGCAGTCGAAACGTCGTGAAAATGTTATTGTTTTATATATTTTATTGTTTCCCTTCAATGTGACTTTACCGAAAGAACCAAGAATATGAATCACTGCAGTCACGAAAGCTTTAAATCAAAATTTAAAGCTCATTAAGATAAGAAACCCATTGACAGTGACTGAACAGTATGATTGTGCAGTTGTATGTACTTGTCAGTGTTCTTTCTTGCCTGTAATTACCAGTTGCCATTAGTCGTTTGTAAAAATATTCACAAGTTTAAGTGCCTTCCATGCTTAAAATGTTATACTTAATACTGTCTTTATGCTATGTGATGCCTTTGTCGTGTTACTTGCTTCATAATAAATCTGACTGCCTGCTGCACATAACCAATATTAAGTGCAATCGTTATTCATTCAACTGCTCTTGTATAAGTGTAAATGTGATTATGTAATTGTTGTGTTCATACAAGTGTAGTGACACAGCGCCGACTGCTGTCCAGCAGCAGCAACTGTGGTGGACAGTTTGCGCACACACTGTTGAGCATTTTTACGGGTGTTCCGGCCGAGCAGAGGAATTGGGGCAAAGGAACCCTCTGGTGGGTTCGAGAAGGGAGGTGCGGCTTGGCCGGAGCCAAGCCACGCCGAGTAGAATATCAGCAGCGGAGAGCGAGAGCTCTGGGCTGCCGGTTCTGGGAGTAGACTCGTCTCGTCGTCGCTGTCGTTGCCACCGCCTTTGTCTGATCATTGTCTGGCCAGACAGTAGTTAGCCATCTCGGTCAACGCCATCCGTGCAATGTGGACAGAGTCGTGTCTAGACCGGGCTCTATGGCAGCGTGGTCGAGAGAGTGAGGCAGGATTTGGTGTGAACAAGATAATAAAGAGAGAGACGATGCCTCCCGCAACTACCTCGTCTCCGACTAAGTGTCTGCGACACACACCACACGCCGGAAGGAGGACACTACACAAGTATAAATGCTGCCTGTCAGTCGAGTCACATTTGCTCTAATTTCTTTTGACGGTGATCTAAGACAGAAGCAAAATGCACTTCTTCAGGAAGTGATAATTTTTTCATAATGCACAAGCTGTGCCTGATACACATCTTTCATGCAATGTTTGGCAACCCTGGTGCCCAGTAAACACCATATGGCCAGATCTTTGCATTGAATTCCAAGTACTAATTCCTCCATGCTTGTGCACGGTTGAGTTTTTATTCCATTCCCTTCATGAACAACCATGTTTTTGAACTTTACATCATAGTAAAATAGTACATGCCGATGAATAATTAATAGATGCTTGAAAACATCTATCCCCAACCATCTGCCTGTGTTTGGCCTAAAACCTAATCACCCAGAATGCCCAAATTCACCATAAATACTCTAGGAATGTAAGCAGGTTAGTGCTTGGATTTACATCGCAATCATCACCCCCAAATGTGCAGACATGTCACGAGACTCGCTGACTTTCCTTGAAATACTTGAGAAATACAAATCATAGCTGAATATTATCATTTCCATGTGTATAAGCCTTTGTCTCAGATTTATTGTAAAATAAATTTACATGTACAGCATAAAACATTCAAATATCAGGAAATATTTTATGTTTAATTTCTTTCACACCGTACATAGCCAATCATGCTCAGCAAGACATGATAAAAACAATCCAAGTCATGGGTTGCATACACTATACAAATACAACGTTGGTTTATTGAGTAGAAACTACGTAAAATATTCTGAAATTTTACAATACAGGTATAGTGCAATCTAAATAAGCAAATGTCCGTTTACAGTGATTTCCCAAATGTCTATAACTACACAAATACTAGCATGTATGTTCCCAATAAAGTAGGCTCCTTCCAAAATGACTAACACAATTGGTTTAGTTGTGCTCACAATATTGTTCACATATCCGTTCTCTTTCAAAGTGACGTTTGAGTCTTATGGCGTTGCTGTGCAAAATACTGCTGCAACCATTCACTAACTCCAACCCTGAACGAACTTCACATTTTTGCAATGCGATTCACACCACAGCGCCTGGTGTACCATTGACGTTTAAGAACCATGAATTAGCAGGAGGACCAAGCGAACGTATCCTTCTTGAGGACAAACCTCGACCACCGCTGTAAAATGCTTTCGGGCTTTCTATATCACGGGTAGTCAGCCATCCTTGTTCTCCTTGATGGTGTCAACCAGCTCTTTCAGACGCGACAGGTGGTACAGGGCCCTGAGAAGAGACACGATATTTGAGAGAAAATTACTTGGTTCACCAGCCAGAATACGTATTTGCTGCTGATATAATGTGCTGGATGGATTATAAGATGCATAGAGGATGTCTTACGAAAGGAAGTCTAGCAGCGGTGTTAGAATATTTGACAATAAATAACACGAGAATGCAGTATACATTTTAAATAAGGAACCGGCTTGCGAGTAAGAAACATTTTATCTGTGGAACAGGTCATAACTCAACAAATGCAATCACAATAGTGTTGTATATGTGGGTGTGTGAAAATTGATGAAAAATCATGAAAATTAAATGAAATTTGCATAATTAATCCGAAACTATGTTAATTTGTGTACTTATGCGTATACATTATGCTAATACGAGAGATAATCGTATTAATTTATACGAATGGGTGTGGTTATGTGAATGATAGCCTTTATGATAATCAGGCCCCGCCTCGTTGACGAGGTGGTGTTATCAATCGGGATAATGCAATCAATCGTATGTGAACTCTCAATCTCGGAACGTCAACACGGTATCAATACAGTATCATCAACGACTGCACGATTTCACTTTGACAACGGCACATGGATCCCGCATAACGCGATTGTTGTTATTAGTGAGAGAGAGTCGTTAAAACATGCAAATGCTATGCTAAACAAAAACCTTAACTTTATAATAAATAATTATACTTAAATTGTTCACGCAGTACCGCACTCCTTATTGATCGTATGCAACCCTTATCACGTTGTTAGCACATTGGGTCACAGAACAGTTGAGTAGTCTGTAGAGTACGCCAGTACGTGCGGCGATTATGAACGAAAGGTACTTTAAAGATTATACGGCGATAACAAAAACAATCAAAAACAGTTATTATTCTTAAAGGCACAAATCTCAACAGATACATCGGCAGATTATCTGACTACAGAATGGCTTTGAGTAAGGGCATGCGATGGTGTGCTCTTTTTCCCCGAAGATCTTTACCTTATACCAAGTTTTAATTAATTGTGGACCAGATCGCCTGATAAGGATCTGGTGGGACACACCATTCCCCACGTGAGTGTGGCTCTGCGGAAGGTGTCAAGAATCAATTCGTATTGATGGATCTGTTGGGAATTTATGCGATTAAGAGTACAGCCCACTAAATATTAAAGAGGAAAATTATGAATATACTTATAAACGACGGATGGTTATCACTCGGTCTCGTTGTGATGCCTTCACAGCCACTGATGGCCTATGGACTTGAGTGGTTAAGGACCCGTGTATGTTTGAGTGATATTAATTGTTTTGAATAGTCAGTGTTTGGAGTTGAGTCTTTAGGTCAAGCGAACGTCAGATTGGTCGTGTAGTGGGGGGCATAGCGCATCATCGTATCGTTGAGTTCTTTTTTTATAGGATAATGTGAGTGTGGTTGGTCTTCTTGCGTTAACATACGCCGACGTTGGCATCCCTTGTAGGAAAAGTATACTCGCTCCCTTTAGAGCGGTGAGGGTGCATGGGGGGTGTATCATACGGACAGCTCGGCACTCCTCCACACGGCGGCCAGCCTCTGTCCTCGGCTGGGGAGGAGAGATGGCACGCTGCCCACTCCTGGTGCAGCTCGGACACGCGCAGCACGGGGAGCCGCAGGCAGCAGATCCTCTTCACTGCTGGATGGCTGCGCTGCTCTCTGGTGGCTGATGGCACGCGGTGGCGGACGGCGCTCTGTGGTTGACGGCACACTGTAGTTGACGGCGCACTGTGGTTGACGGCGCACTCTGCCCTGCTGGCAGATGCCGAGCTGGTAGAAGCCCCTCTGGCTGATGAGCCGAGCTGCTTTTAGCCCTTGCTGATGATGAGGTCGGAGCAGAGCTGAGCTGCTGGCCGCAGCTCACTCCTGAGCCGACCCCCCGGTCGAACTGCCCCGATGGGCCGGCTCCAGTGAGCCGGCCGAACTCCCCCGAGTTCCGACCGAACTGGTCGAACTCCCTGGTGAGTCGACCCCCCCCCCCCCCCGGTCGAACTGAGGTTTCAATGCTGTAGCGTTCTCTTTTATGCCAAAAATCCCTTCACTTGGATCCTGCCCACAAGGCGGGGCTTCTTTTGATTTTGCTGTGTCATGATCTATCCGTATGTATGTGTCCGTACTTGTGTCAGTGTGTCCTTGTGCGCATCACCCACGGCATATTCCGTTCTAACCCTCCTTCCATAAAACACCAAAAGTAAAACAATCAGATGTTACAAATTGTCTCGAAGGTGCCTCTCGGTCTGCCTCTCTGTCTGCCGGTACGAGAGAGGGAGGGCAAGCTTTCCTCCCTGCATGTCATATCCCCGACACACAAGGGAAGGGTTAAAAAGTTTTAAGTTAACATTTTCATTTCACCACAGTTCCACAATTATGACTCGGTATGTAACCCGAGATCTGTGTCGTTTCCATCGTGGTGTCTGACTCAAGGGAAGGTGTTTTCCCGAGCTTATACACACTCCTACCCCGCGCTGTGGGGATACAAAGACGGCCGGGATCTCCCTTTCTCTCCGACCCTGGGTTTAACATCGCCCAAGTCATTGTGCAGTTTAGGTTTTTTGTAAGCTTAGTATAAATTTTACGAATATCACTCAAACATACACTTTACCGAAAGAGCTAAGAACATAAGCTTAGTATAGTTCACGGTGAATAGCACCCACATGAATGTTATGGATTCCACAATGTAATGTTTCATCTTACTTAAAAACTTGCTAGGGTTTTTGCTGACACGCTGACATTCCAAGCCCCCGCCCATATTCCTGCTTGCTGTTTCTCTCAGTCTCTGCCCCACACTCTCTCTAGCGTGTTGTGGCCGCTGTCTCGCTGACGCCGCCAATTCAAAGCCTCATTAATTTCCGTCACTCCGTGTAGGTGAGGGCGGGTTAGTGATCGCCGTTTTCAGCCTTGTTGAGTGCAGGTGGCAGCGATAATGAGTTGTTTGATTCATGCCACTCTTATTCTTATCTCTAGCGTCCCGATGTCAGCTTTACCAGCTGGCATTCATTTGCCTCCTTCTCCACGTCCTTGGGTTTCCAGTTTAGCTTACGTTTGTAATTTTGCGGTGCGCTTGTTTTTCTTCCTCTCCAACCTTATATTAACTCTGCTTATATTCGTTTATGTCTGGAGGTTATAGCATTCACTTTGACTGAGGAAAATTCTGATTGTCATATGCTTCGAGTCAAGTTGTATAGAAATTATTAAAATATGTAAATAACATTTCATATTGAATTAATAGACGGGTGATGGTTGACTGGTTGCCAATAGGAGTGGGTGTGATGATTGACCATGTTACGCCACTTTTGTCATTGAATCCCGAACTTTAACGTTACTTTAATAGTACCACAGGGTACATGAGCTTTTTGACTTAACTATGTCCAGGCCAACGCAAACTCCTGGTGACCCTGGCTCCGCTCACGTCAACCCTGCAGCTTGTGCTTATGCTGCTTAGCCGAGTCTGCGTCCTTGAGAGATATACAACTCTTATTCTTTCACCGAGGCCATCCCACCTTCTGCTCTGGGAGTCATTATTCTTAATTTCAGATCAACGGCCCCCTCACGTTCAGACGTGCGGGTTGTTTAAGTTAGCTCCCCTTATGCACACAGCCTGTGATAATGGCCTGGCCTTCAGGCGCTTACCTCAGTCCCTTGGAATCCGCTTTTCAGCACTTGGTTGGTGACCTCTGACCCTGGGAGGTATTATTTTAATTCCCTGGCACGTCCCTGACCTGTACCTGCTGTTGCTGAGGGACTCGGGACTGTTTTCATTCATTATTAAAATGAAAAAAAAAACCAAGAGAAATATGTATCTATATATCAAAAAAATACTTGTTAATATTAAGATGGAAAAGGCATATACACAACAATAGCCAATATAGTATCTACTTTTCAATACTGATTTAAGAAAAGTAAGCTGTAAGTCAAAAGTTTGGCTTAAATTGAAACGTGAACACATACCTTTGCAGAGACGATCCACCTGGTACCGACTCAAACTCAGGAAAGTCAACTTGAGATGCTGCCTCATCCATAATCTAGGAAAGTAAAACGGGAATGTAAAAAGGTTCAGAGCGACCTGCACAACACCCATCAGCACGTGCTACGTGTGCAATACATTATTTTCTGTCCTGTAGTGTATTGTCATAGACCTACAACTAAGTCACCCAGAATTAGCCTGATCTTGTAAAATTTCAGAAGCTAAGTTCTGCTGGGTGACCACGATGCAAAATAGGTAGTTATAGACTGCCACTGTGCTACGTGGTGGGCAGAAGAGGGCAGTGCAGAAAAATCAATTGTTTTACTGTAAAATTTCGATTTAAAGCTTTCGTGACTGCAGGGATTCATCTTCTGGGTTCTTTCGGTAAAGTCACGTAGAATGGAGATAAAATAATAAAAATAATAACAGAATAAAATTTTCACGACGTTTCGGCCACAACACAAGTAGCCTTCCTCAGGTGAAGAAAACAGGACTGCCCGGAAGACAGCGCTAGAGTGAACCCTGCCAGCTTGACAGCGTCTTTTAAGCTCTGTGGGAGGAACAAAGCGCCTTGACAAAGGAGTTTACATATAAATTAGCATGTAAATGGGGGATTAGCATGATGTTGGTGTGAGGGATGAGCACCATGGAGAGCGACGAGCTCGGACCGGAGGAGGAGGGAGAGGGGTTTACATATAAATTAGCATGAAACTGGGGGATTAGCATCATGTTGGTGTGAGGGATTAGCACCAACACACCTGAAGATGACCGTTTGTGTTATGGTCGAAACGTCGTGAGAATTTTTATTGTTTTATATATATTTTATTATTTTGTTGTTTCCCTTCAACGTGACTTTACCGAAAGAACTAAGAATATGTCTTATGGTTGTTGTTGGCTTTCACCACATTGTGATTTTTGCACAGTGTTTTAACAAGTTTTTTTGTGTGGAATATTTGCTGGTTTATTCCAGGATGTTTCTGTTGCGCGTCGTCGCTTTGGGATGTTCTGTGTTCATATTCTGTTTGTTGCGGTTGCACCCGACTTAAGAGCTGCATGGCTCACAGGGCTATACCTAATAAATGAAACTTGAAACTTGGGAGGGGAGGGGCTGGGTGGGGAGGGTTGGGATGGGTGGGGAGGGTGGGGCTGGGGAGGGTGGGGAGGGGCAGGGTGAGGAGGGGCTGGGTAGGGAGGGTGGGGCTGGGTGGGGGGTGGGAGGGGTGGGGCTGGGCTGGGTGGGGAGGGCTGGTTTGTGTCTGCCCTCACAGTTGGGAATATTTGCGGAATACACCACGCCGCCGTTGAACCTGGCCATTGACCGAGCAACCCAACGTTCCTACCAGCTCCCTCCGCAGGAATGTGTTTGGGGGAGGTGGCTGGGTGGCTCAGAGATCAGAGCTCTGAACTGGCACTGCTGGGTTCAAATCCAAACAGTCACCTCTGATTAGTGGGTTTTAAAGTGTAGTCAGTTGGCGGTATTTCCCCGTCACCAATGACTGCACAAAAAACCCATCAAATAAAATATGTTCAGCATATATTTGGATAAACAGCAATATGTTTAGGAGCTAAATGCAAATGTCGAGGTTTGTTAGCCATAAGAGGGCTTCAAGAGAGTTTGTGTAGTTTTACAAAATTGACCTCGTTAATTCTAATCCAGATGTGAATAATAGAGCTCTGCGACTGACAATATTAGTTTGACTATCTTGCAATGAAAATTACTCTCATGTGGTAGAGTGGATGACTAAAGGACTGCCATGACGGTGCTATCCTCTACTGTGCGGACCAGGCAATTTGAAGGGTTATCCATTCACTTCCATGTGCCGTTCTCTAACACAACAGATTGCAATGCCCTCCAATATATCTTAAAGGATACTTCATTTCAAGACAGGACGCCTACAGCACAACTGGGATAAAACTGTGAAAAAGTGAGAAATATAAAACCTCACTTTGTAGACCTGGCCTATTGAGGCACCCTCATATACATGTGTCATCACAGTGGTGTCACTAGAATGCTACAACAGCATGAGGCACATGATTGTTACTTGAACTTTTTTTCTCAATAAATCTTTGGTGTGTTTACAAAAGTTGTTTATTATGATGTAGTGCATCCATTGGGACAATGCATGGATAGGGTCAGTGATGTCATTTTTGCACTAAACCCATTGAAAGTTAACTTTTAACATTTCTATTGATGTGTTATCCATTTAAAGTAAAAAATTAGTGCATCCAATGGGACAATGCATAGATAGGGTCAGTGACGTCATTTTTGCACTAACCCCATTGAAAGTGACATTTTTACATTTGTATTGATGTTTTATCCATTTACATTAAAAAATTTAGCTGTTTGCGGTGGACAAATCGATTGAGCATTGGCCTTTCTAAAGCTCAAAAGTTCAAATCTTGGGTATGTCTTTTTTTTAATTAACATTTTTGCTACTTTTAAACTCTAGCATATTTAAGTGAGTTATCTGTGCTTGATAACTTGGCTGAGGTCTGTAAATGTGACTTTTCAACTCTCAGCTCATCAGTTCAAGCCCCGACTCATCACAAATTGCCAGCCACTCTTTGACCCAAAGTCATTTGTCCTATACTCGTGCCAACAAAAAATGCAAACCAACAAATTAAACAAAAAATAAGGACCTACGGTAACGACAAATGCTAAACAAACAACGGATCATGGGAAGAGAAAGCGAAAATAAACTGCAACGCTACGAAAGCGACGGTTAAATAAGCAAAAGTACCAAGAAAAGCGTGTTAATGAAGATGAAGAGGCAAAGCGCACCAGACTTGACAAACGACGTGATCGTTTTCATGATGAAACACCAGAAGCACGTAACGTCCTATTGCAACAAGACCGTCAACATCACATACAATCAAGAAATCAAGAAACACCAGAAGCTCGTGATGGTCGATTGCAATCTGTGCGTGCACACATGTGACAATTCAGAGTTGCAGAAAGACTTGAAGCACGTGATGTTATATTAAAGCGAAATCGTCTATCAATAGCAACGTCTTCAAACACTCAATGCTGACATGACAACATTTGACAATGCAATCAATACATAGTCATAAAATCTGTGAAGTCTACATCAAACGCTCTTGTCCAAATCAGATTTACAGAGTACGACGTAATGAAAATACATTGCACTATCTACAAACCACATTGTCATCAAAGCAACCATTGGAAATGTGTTCACGTTGCAAGACACATCAACAGTGACAAGAGCTGTACCGCCAAAAGCTCACTGGAATAATTTGGATTCTCGTGAAATTCAAGATGTGATTCCAGTCTTAACACAGCCAGAACAACGTCTATTATCAAGAGTTCTACCATTTGTCAAGATCATCAAATTACGTGGAGTCTTCGGTCAATATGGCTTCCGTGGACAGGCAGTGCTCTTTGCTATGGACATCTTTCAAGTAAGTGACAAACTTCCACGAACAATGGATAATACTGTAATGGTTGTCATCACAAAACATCTTGACAATCTCAACATCACACGTGATTTCTCTATAAATCGGGAACAAGTTTACAATCCACTCAACTGGATAATTCAAAACAATCCACTTTATCGGGATGTAACAATCAATTAAGAAGCAAACATCGCTGATGTACATTCAGTTGCTACAGTGAGAGAAAAAAGTATTTGATCTCCTGCTGATTTTGTACGTTTTCCCACTGACAAAGAAATGATCAGTCTATAATTTTAATGGTAGGTTTATTTGAACAGTGAGAGACAGAATAACAACAAGAAAATCCAGAAAAACGCATGTCAAAAATGTTATGAATTGATTTGCATTTTAATGAGGGAAATAAGTATTTGACCCCTCTGCAAAACATGACTTAGTACTTGGTGGCAAAACCCTTGTTGGCAATCACAGAGGTCAGACGTTTCTTGTAGTTGGCCACCAGGTTTGCACACATCTCAGGAGGGATTTTGTCCCACTCCTCTTTGCAGATCTTCTCCAAGTCATTAAGGTTTCGAGGCTGACGTTTGTCAACTCGAACCTTCAGCTCCCTCCACAGATTTTCTATGGGATTAAGGTCTGGAGACTGGCTAGGCCACTCCAGGACCTTAATGTGCTTCTTCTTGACCCACTCCTTTGTTGGCTTGGCCGTGTGTTTTGGGTCATTGTCATGCTGTAATACCCATCCACGACCCATTTGCAATGCCCTGGCTTAGGGAAGGAGGTTCTCACCCAAGATTTGACGGTACATGGCCCCGTCCATCGTCCCTTTGATGCGGTGAAGTTGTCCTGTCCCCTTAGCAGAAAAACACCCCCAAAGCATAATGTTTCCACCTCCATGTTTGACGGTGGGGATGGTGTTCTTGGGGTCATAGGCAACATTCCTCCTCCAAACACGGCGAGTTGAGTTGATGCCGAAGAGCAACCATTTTGGTCTCATCTGACCACAACACTTTCACCCAGTTGTCCTCATGAATCATTCAGATGTTCATTGGCAAACTTCAGACGGGCATGTATATGTGCTTTCTTGAGCAGGGGGAACTTGCGGGCGCTGCAGGATTTCAGTCCTTCACGGCGTAGTGTGTTACCAATTGTTTTCTTGGTGACTATGGTCCCAGCTGCCTTGAGATCATTGACAAGATCATCCCGTGTAGTTCTGGGCTGATTCCTCACCGTTCTCATGATCATTGCAACTCCACGAAGTCAGATCTTGCATGGAGCCCCAGGCCGAAGGAGATTGACAGTTCTTTTGTGTTTCTTCCATTTGCGAATAATCGCACCAACTGTTGTCACCTTCTCACCAAGCTGCTTGGCAATGGTCTTGTAGCCCATTCCAGCCTTGTGTAGGTCTACAATTCTAGATTTGAAGCATTCATGACGGCAAGGATCCATACTCTTTGGTTCTATTCGGTAAAGTCACGTAGGTAAAAAATTAAAACACAAAAATCACGTTTCGCCCACAACACAAGCGGCCTTCATCAGGTGAAGGGACCAACCTGTCCAGCGGACAGCGTTGGAGTGAAGAAAGCCAAGCGCTGGTCTCCTCCCTTTAAGCTGTGAGGGGGCAAACAGCAAACGCCCTGACAAAGGAAATTAGCATGAAACGCACCACTGACAAAGCTTGGAATTAGCACAAGACGATAATACACCACCCTGGGAGTTTGGAATACCACTACTAGAATAAATATACTGTACCATTGAAATTTAGATTTGAAGATTTCGTGCTTGCAAGGATCCATACTCTTTGGTTCTATTAGGTAAAATCACGTTAAGCTGTGAGGGGACAAACAGCAAACGCCCTGACAAAGGAAATTAGCATGAAACGCACCATTGACAAAGCTTGGAATTAGCACAAGATGATAATACACCACCCTGGGAGTTTGGAATACCACTACTAGAATAAATATACTGTACCATTGAAATTTAGATTTGAAGATTTCGTGCTTGCAAGGATCCATACTCTTTGGTTCTATTAGGTAAAATCACGTTAAGCTGTGAGGGGACAAACAGCAAACGCCCTGACCAAGGAAATTAGCATGAAACGCACCATTGACAAAGCTTGGAATTAGCACAAGATGATAATACACCACCCTGGGAGTTTGGAATACCACTACTAGAATAAATATACTGTACCATTGAAATTTGTATTTGAAGCTTTCGTGCCTGCAAGGATCCATACTCATTGGTTCTATTAGGTAAAGTCACGTAGGTAAAAAAATAAAACAATAAAAATCACGACCTTGGAAGTTTGGAGTGCCACTATTTGAAATAAATATACTGTACCATTGAAATTAGTTTAATGTTTGGTTCGTAGCTGATCATTGTTTCAACGCTGTGGGTGAAACAATGATATAATTTTCTCCGATACCAAGGTCCTTTGCAAACCGACAGGTTATCATCAGAGATTTGTCCACGAGGCAATTCAGATTTACAAACACAGACACAATTTCAACCGAGAAGATGGTTTCAAATTAAGCAACCATTGAAAAAAATTGAGCAAGGTGTTTGCTTGTTCCAAATGATGTATATGACTTTGTCGAGGATGTGTGTGGATGTGATATATACTTGTGTGTGTGGTGTATGCGAGTGAGATTTTTATATCTGCGCGAGTGATCTGTACGCGTGATGCGTCTCTGCGTGTGGTGTCTCTGCGTGTGGTGCCTGTCGCGGTGCTACGCTGATGCTCTGTGTCAGTGTGAAGCCGGCACTCACCACTGCATTCTTTAGCGACACTCCGAGGCTGAGGATGGCAATCCCCGTGCTCGCCACCTCGTAGGCGATGGCCACCGGCCCGCTGTGCAGCATCTCCATGAAGGTCGTCCACCCTGAAGGAGCTGGGTCGTCGTCTTCTCCTCCTCCTTGGGGAACCTCCATGCCATGGCTGGGAGAGGAAGCGACTCGAGGCACCCTCTCGGCTTCGTGACCTGTGAGGCGGTTGCTGATGTGGACGGCCACGGTCGCTTTGGTGAGAGGTAGAGGCTGTCCGGCCTGTGGCGGTTGGACCTCCCAGGCTCCCCTCAGCTTAACCAGCCAGTTAGGGGAGAAATTCTTCTCCTCCGTGGGCACAGACGCGAGGAACGCGGAGCTCGCCACGAGCAGCGTCACGAGGGTGCGTGAAGTACTGCGCAGCCCGTGAGCCTCCATGGTGACTGCTACGAGAGAGGCTCCAGGAGGCTTCGTGCAGAGAGGCGCTCCTCAGCAGGCAGCTTGCAGCGTGGCTCTAGCGGCACACTGGGTGGAAGCGGGTGTGACGTCACGGCCCGAGGCCGGATGTGTGTTGTGTCTCATCTGTGTGTGTCTGTCTGTTTGTGTGTGTCTGTGTATCTGTGTGTCTGTGTGTGTGTCTGGGCTCGCCTTCCCATCAACCAGAGGCGATGAGTGGTGGTCGTGGTTACTTATGCCCCCACCGAAGACGAACATCCGTGTAGGGATGCAGGCAAGGCCGACTAAAGTGGCCCGTCGGGATAGAGTGATCTTGTTGGGTGACTTCAATGCCCGAGTTGGTCATGATACTGGCACCTGGTCTGGAGTGATTGGAAGGCATGGGCCAGATCAGCTCAATAACAACGGTAGGAGGCTGCTAGATTTTTGAGCAGCCCATGGGCTTGTAATTACCAACACGCTGTTCGGGCATCAGCGCATCCACACAACATCATGGATGCATGCCGGGTCCAAGCATAGTGACGGACCAGCGGATGCGAGTCCATGTCCTTGACACCAGGACTTACCATGGAGCTGATCTGCCCTCTGACCATCGACTTGTCATCTTTAAGATGCACCTGCCATTCTTCCACTCCAGTGGTGGGTGTACACCCAGGACCCCATTCCTACCTAAGGTGGCCTGGTCTCAGCTAGCTGATGGAAGTTGGAAACGAGAATTTAATCATCGCTTGCAGCTGCTGTTGGCATTGTCCCCCACTCCTCCTGATATCGAGGGTAAATGGGCGAGGTTTAGGACTGTGACTCATGCCGCTGCAATGGCTGCTTTGGGTACACGGTCCAGACCTCCCCCAGAGACCATGTCTGACAGAGGAGGTGTTCAGGATGGTTGAGAAAAAGCGACAGGCCCACTCTAATCGGCTACAGCATCCCATGTTAGAGAATGAGGAGGCTTACCGCAGCCTTCGCTCGGAGGTTCGGAGAGCCGTGAGGCGCTGCAAGGATGGGTGGATGGTCGCGGGTTGCTGAGGAGATAGAATCTGCCTGAATGGCCCGTGATCACAAATCCCTATTTAACTCCATCAAAAAAGTAACCTGCAGCACCACACCTATTACCATCATTAGGGGAAAGAATGGTGATCTAATCTCCGACCCCCAGGAACAAGTCTGCAGATTTGCTGAGCATTTCTGTGAGGTCCTGGGGGAGGGGGAATCCCTCCGCCTGGAAAACATCATGGGACAAAGTAGAGATGAGCCTACAGAGGCTGCGGTGCCTCAAATATTGGAGGAGGAAGTCACCCCCTGTGAGTGGCTGGTTGAGGTGCCATCCGTTGAGGAAGTACTGAAGGCGATCCAGAGTCTGAGACCAGGAAAGGCACCGGGCTGAGATGCTCTCCCAAGCGAAATGCTGAGGGAGGGTGGCGTTTGTACGCAGACTGCCCCACATGACATCATAACAACAGTCTGGGCCACTGGACAGGTTCCACAGGATTGGAAGGATGCCCTGGTGGTCCCCCTGTTTAAGAAGGGCGACAGCACAGACTGTAATAACTACAGGGGCATCTCTCCTCAGTGTACCGGGAAAGGTCCTGGCAAGGATTATTCAACATTGCCTTGCGAGGCACGCTGAGGAGAGTCTTGCGGAGCCCCAATGCGGTTTCAGGAAAAGGCGGTCCTGCACAGATGCCATATTTTATGTCCGTCTGCTACAGCAGAGGTGTAGGGAATTCCAACAAGACCTACATCTCTGCTTCATTGACCTGGTCAAGGCCTATGATACTATCAGTAGGTCTGGGCTCTGGGTTGTTCTTCGTGCTTTCAGAGTCCCTGACCCTATGCTCACGCTCATTAAAGACCTTCATGATGGTGAACAGGCCCTGGTAAAACTACGTGGCTGGGATTCAGAGCCATTCCCTGTACACCTTGGGGTGCGACAGGGATGTTCTCTGGCTCCAACATTATTTAACATCTCTTTTGACTACGTAGTTCGTGAAGCCTTCAGTAGCTGTGCTGGAGGAATTTCCATCTGGTACAGATACAATGGAAGGCTGATTTATGCCCGGGTGCGGTCAAGGGATGGCTCCCTA